GCATAACCTATCTGTTGTTTGTCTCTGTGTTGAACTATCAGAAAATGCAATCAGGAGTAAAGATGAAGGCTGGAGTTAAACTCCAGTTTACTCATTTAAATGGACCCTATATAATTGTTTATGAATAATCCAACAAAACAAGATCAACAACCCTGAATATGGCTGTTGAGATATTGAAACATTTTGAAGTACATTAATCGGGCTAGATGAGAACCTCTATCTTTGTCACCTACTTATTATCCAGCCCCAGCAATTAAATGCCTTGACTTCTCCTGACATTACACTGAACAGGACTTGAAGTAATACAAAACAAGTGTAACATGGAAGCAATTAGCTCACATACGCTGAAATACTTCAAATGATACAATAAATAAAATCTTAATCTCTAAGGAAGGAAAATAACAATGAAGATCACTTCTACTCCATAGTATAGTTTTGTTATGCACGTATTTTGACCAGAAATTTCAATAAAACATTCCTCTAATTTAGCGGTAATAATTCTGGCTTTTATATGGAAGTGTATGAATTACAGGCTTGGTTACAAGGTAACTCTCATTTTCGAGAAATAAGATCAGCTAATCATTCAGTGGGGTGGTGCTGCCTCAGGTAGATAGTTGAATGGATAAAATGTTTTTGCTTACATGTCAAGACTCCATATCCAGGAATTAACTTAAGGAACAGGGAGAGGGTTGGCTTTGATTTGTTTCCTCCCTTTTTTTTCTTTTTTTTTTTTTTAAAGAAACATAAAATAAGGGGTCCTAAAGATGTGATTTTCCAGATCCAAAAGGCTATACTTGATTAACTGAGACTTACTTTTTAAATTAATTTGCCTTTACAAGTTGGTGAGAAAATTATAAGGAGTCCGCATTAGCTTACTTTGGTATTTTACTTCTGGAATCAACCTTGGAGTCAAATGCACCAGCTGTTAAAGATAAATTTGTGTCAAGGGGGATAATTTGGATTTATATATTGAAAAGTAGGTTGGCACTGCCTTTTCCCTTGCCCTCAGACTTTGGTTTTCTAGAGTCAGCGGAACTCACAGTTTGGAAAGAAGCAAGGCAAAAAGAATTGATTAACAGCAGGAAAACAATCATCATAACTCATCATATATCTATTCACACAGGGATCCTGGTTTTGGTCTAGTGTATGAAATTCTGAGAGGAACACTTATGAAGGCCATCTACAACATGATGAACTTAGTTCACAGATAATTTTGAAGGTATACTTTTGTTGTTTTTCACTTCTGACACAGCTCTCTATATTTGTCAAGTCTACAGGGGCAAGCTACATCTAAAGAGGCTATAGCTCACTCTCCCCCTAATCTGTGCAAGGAAATTGACAGCACTCCAACACAGTCATCCATCCTTGGAGTGTAAGAACAATTATTTAACAACACAGCTTCATGCTTTCTCATTCAGTGCTTCAAGAACTGGAAACAACAGTAACTATTTTAGGTGACAGTAAAATAGATATTCCCAGTCACATCTGGTCCAACACTGATTAACATTAAATACAAACCAGACCTATTTCTTTCACATAATATTGGATTAAGTCAACCAGTTTAATGAGGGAAATCTTTTATGAAGATTTAGAGCCCATCAAAGAAGAACCAGGAGGGACACAACACTCTTAACATTGAGTGATTTATCTTATCCTATATGGTTAAGTAGTTTTGAGAGGTCAGGTGCATGTTTCTCTCCATTAACTGTCAGTGCAGTACAAGGTGAGAATGTCAGATTTACAGGTCTACCTTTGGGATGCCTAAAGTAAAATGGGAGGCATCCCACCTCACATACTCACTAACTGATCACTTATAGTAAGGAAAGAGAAAGACAGGAGAAGTTGACAGCCTTACTCATGCTTAAAACAGTGGGATCTTCATTATTTATTGTGACATTGCTTATTGGAGCTATCTGAAATTACCTCTGCTTTGTTTAAGCTTAGAAGAGAACCACAGTTCTATTTGTCTTCTCTCAGCTTCTCGGCTTTCTTAGTCAACATTTACTAGTACATTTACTAGAATCAACATATTTTCAAACTGTACTGAAACTTCATACAAAGCGAAAGATAAAGGATCTTCAAGAAGAAGGGAAGAGTGTTATTCCTGCTCAAGAATGCGGGGCATAAATTTCCCTAAGCTACGTTACTGCCAAGACTACAGCTTTCCAGATCTTAAGGGTGTGTGCATGCATGCACTACCACTGAGAACAGAATTATGCTTAAAAATCTGGAAAACAAGCAGGTTGTAACTTTCTTTTGTGGTTATTATTCCACTTAACTCTCTTTGACGTGTTATGTTAACCAAATTACACCAAGAAGGAAGATGAAGGAATGTATTTCCATGTAAAATGGGTAAAAAATTATGAAATTAAAGCTATAGATCTTAAAATATTCCTTGGTAGTAACAATTCCTTTATGTTTTTTATATTTGAGAAATCATTATGCTGGACAGTAAAAGGATAATAAACCTTTTGAAGGAATGAAATCAAAAACACCTTTAAAAAATAAAATGTGGTGCTCCAAAATAATTTATATGAGCAATTTTCTTCATATTTCTTGAGATCTAAATATTATTAAATTCTATTAAAGATAAGACTAGTACTTGTTCCACAAACAAAATCAAGTAGCAGTAAAACTACATAGAAATAATCATATTAGGACCTACCATATTAGGATAGTGAAAAAATTGAGTTAAATCCTTTTGGTGTTATCTGTATCAAGTTCAACAACACATTAGAGAGTACTGTAGAAGTTTCTAAGAAATACAGTCTCTTCAGTACAGTAAAAAGAACTGTTTATATTAGAAATTATTTTTAAAAGGACCAGCATGAATTTAAGTAGTTATGTTTTAATTTTGGAATTATTTCATCACTGAAAATAATAGTTAGGGATTAAAGTATGTATTCCACAGTTCTGTCTCTCAAAATATGTATATTTATAGTTGTAGACAAGAAGATAACACATCGATGCAACTGGGAACCAAAACCGAGGGCTGAATTACTGTTAAAAACAGCCGATCTTCTCAGAAGTCAGGTCTGAACTACCAATTACTGCCTCTATGCCTGGTCAATAAGGTTACTCACCTTTTCTCATGTCACAGTCAAAGACAAGTGTATGCATTTAATCTCCCCATCACGTAATGTCATATGGGCAGGGAGAAACGCACATTGTGCAATGTGGACGAGCATCAGCACCGCATCCACAAGGCAGGTAATATCCAAATCATGGTACTGTTCCAAAAGAAAGTGAGGCAACTTTCTGCACTGTGCCTTGCAGCCAAGGGAGGCACTAGCTAACAGCACTCTGATCATAATAAAATTCAAAATGCTGTATAAATGCTGTACAAATTCCAGAAATGCTCAATGGAACTGCTTTTCCATTCTGTGTGAAAAGCACCACACAGAAAAAAACAGTCTGTTCTAGCAGATTACAAGAAAAGAAAGATATTGGGAAAATGATATAACAATACAAGTGTAGTGGGTTTCTGTGGCTGAGTTTTGGTAGCAGGGGGTGGACTACAGAGGTGGTTTCTGTTAGAAGCTGCTAGAAGCTTCTCCTGTCCCATGGAGCCAATGCCAGCTGGCTCCAGGATGGAATTCCTCCTACTGGCCAAGGCCAAGCCATCAGGAATGATAGTAATGCCTCTGTGATAACATATTTAAGAACAGAAGGTTGTTGCGCAGAAGGATTCCAGACAGGGAAGAGCAAAGTGAAAACATGGGAACAAACAAGGTAAACACCAAGGTCAGCGCAGAAGGAGGGGGAGGAGGTGATCCAGTTGCCAGAGCTGTGGCCCCTGCGGACCATGGTGCAGACCACGGTGGAGCAGCTGTGCCCCTGCAGCCCATGGAGCACCATCGGGGTGTAGAGACCCACCTCCAGCCCATGGAGGAGCCCATGCTGGAGCAGGTAGATGCATGAAGGAGGCTGTGACCCCGTGGGAGGCCCAAGATGAAGCAGGGTCCTGCTGGAGACCTGAAGCCCATGGAGAGGGAAGCCCACGCTGGAGCAGGTTTTTCCCAGGTAGGACTTGTGGCACCTGTGGGGACCCACGTCGGTACAGCTCATTCATGAAGGACTGCACCCCATGGAGGACTGATCCACAGGACAGCAGTTTGAGAAGAACTGCTGCCCAAGGGATGGACTCACGCTGGAGAGGTCCATCAGGGACTGTCTCCCGTGGGAGGGACCCCATGGGAGCAAGGGAAGGACTCCTCTCTCTGAGCAGGGGCAGAAACAACAACTGACCGTAACCCCCTTCCCTGTCCTCCTGCACTGTGGGGCAGAAGGGAGAACATGGAAAGAAGGAGGTGTTGGGGGAAGATGTTTCTAAAACTGTTTTATTTCTCACTCTTTGGCTCTTATCCTGTTAGTAATAAATTTAAGTACTATCCCCTCTTTGAGTCTGTTTTGCCCATGAAGGTAATCAGTAACCGACCTCTCCCAGCTCTTAACTCATGAATCCTTAGCTGTTTTTTTCTCTCTCTTCTGTCCAGTTGCAGAGAGAGAGTGAGAGAGTGGCTTTAGTGGGTACTGGGCATCTGGCCAGAGTCAACCCACTACAACAAATCAGGGCAAAAAAAATTACTAAAGCTTAAAGGTGCCTTCCATAACAAATTAAACACACCACAAGGGTCAGTTATAAAAAAAAAAAAAAAAGGAGAGGCAGGATATTAGGGAGAAACAGAAGAAAAAACCTTCATTCATTAGAGAAAGAGGAAAGAGATTATTTATCTTCAAAGTGTAAAATTGAACTTGCTGCAAAATTGATCAGATATCTTCAGACTTGGAAATACCCTATGGCAATTATTGATCAAGAGGAGTGAACGTGCCACAGACCAGGTTTCTGTGCCACAAAAAAAGGAGGAGAGGGGACGCAAAAGAACTTCCATATGTTTAAGACATATATAAGTTTGAAGTACACTCAACTGCTGAGTTAACAGCTGCATGAGCTATTGCAGCAATGTGTATGAGGATAGACGATCTTCAGGAAAACATACCTGGCTAGATTGAATGCATCATCGATTAAGCCTGCTCGATTACTGACAGAGATAACCTGTGAGGGCCAAGCACAAAAATTGAACCATTTAGGGTGATGGAACAGTGAAGGTTCACCTATGAAAGCAGATTTTAGGGATGAGAATAGGAGCTTACCTCATGGTTCCTTGTTAGCTGATTAATTAGCAGTCTCCAATTCCTAATATCATAATTAACTCTAAAGTAGCCAGTCTGATTGATGTTCCCCAGCAACCAACCTGCCTCTTCAAAAGCAGGAATTCTGTGGTGTTCTGGAAACAACAAGAAGGGAAGGGGTTTTGGTTTTAAATTTAAAAATTATAAAGACATATCAGTGAAATTTTCTCCTTCTTTAAGTATACACGAAGGCAGTAAAATTAAGCGAAAGACTAACAAAAACATTGTGCTTGATTAACAATAATCTCCTTTATCTGTTCTGATGTAGAGAGATGCCAGCTGACATTCCCATGGGGACCTTTTACCCACACAGAACGCCAAGTATGCTTTTTTGTCCCCTGGAAAATATTATTTACGTGAGAAGTACACATCTTAAGTTTGGTACCCTCATTCTGGTGATGCTAAAACAGCTTTCTACAACTGTAACTCAAATAATTCAACGGATATGTTATAGAGAGAAGACTAAACCTGTGATTAAAAAAGTAAATTCCTAAGTATTTCTGCATGTATTTGATGAAGCTTTTCCATTGGATTCTAAATTAAAGTATTCCCAGTACAGCTTCTAGCTACTAACCACTGAGAGGCTGCTCTTTAGAGCTAGAACCTTATATCAACTAACCTGTTCTTCATCTTTCCTCTCATTTTAAGAAATCACTTCGGGGCAGAAAGTCTAAATTTATTACAGTATTTCTACAGTCAAGTATTCCACAACTATTTGCAGGACTAGGGATTTCAACAACAAAAACACGTTGAACTCACAATACACACTTTTGTTTCACTATGGAAAGAATTACCATAGGATGAAGCCTCAGGCTTTAGTGTTTCTTGAAGAAATCTTCAATCTAGTAAATTATTCTGACAAAACTAATCATGAACCAGAACTCACTAAAAATTCCAAAACTTTTTTTTTACTATAATAAAATCAGTTTGTACATTGTTGAAGGAACAGTTTTCTCAGGTATTTTAAAAATAAAAAAGAAATACATAAAATTTGTTATAAATGTAATTCCATCAGGGAATTGCTTAGTATGCTTGAATTCCCTGAAAGTAACAATCAGGAAAAAAGTTAACAACGTGGTCTTTACAATTCGCACATGTTATCTAGTAAACAGATTTACTAAAGAAAGTGATTTGTTTCAGTCTTTCTTATAAAAAAAGTAATTTCTGAGTAAATAATAGATGACTAGGACTACAAATAAAAGTTATGCTTCTCCCTCAACTAAGCAAACCCACAAATAACTATTATTTTAAGGTGCAATAAATACAAAGATCAGCAAGACCCCAATCTTAAAGACACATAATTATATGTGCAAATTCATGGAGCTGCATCATGCACATGAATTTAGACAAAAAGCTGCAGGATTAGAAAATAAAGTCCTCATCTCTCCTAGGGAGTTCTGAAATCATTAAAACATCTTAAAAATACACTTCTTAGAAATATTAAGCTTAGAATAACTCAGTTGTTGCCTACTCAATTCAACTGTTATTGCTCCTTTAGGGTTTGTCTAACAGACTCTTACCAGCTCAATTTAATTACTCTATATAAACAAATGAGAAAAAAAATACAGACCCCTGGGTTTAGTGAAAATAATCTGTGATAAAGCACCAAGTGGACATATTCTTTAGGAGCCAAGATATCCTGCAGAAATTGGACTGAGAAAATCAGAATGAAGTCCTACAACTCTGTGGACTTCCCAAGCATTCATACTGTCAAAGCACCTAAGCTGCTTTTGCCACACAGTCTGATTTGGGACAAGGTTGTAACACTGTGTGTCCCTTCTTCCACAGGGGTCTAATAAACACTGGGCTGTGCAGCTCAGTCCTTAGCAAACTCTCTTAGACTGCTATACTGAAATTGCTCTTCTGTTTAAATCCTTTTTTCACTGGACCCAACATCAGAACCACCCCACTGCACCATGCTACTTAGAGACGACTTGAATCCTGTTTCCTGTGTAAACTTATAAAAACATTACTGTAGAAAAATTATATGAGATTGTAACAATTTACACCATAGTGATAAAGGCATTTTCTTAGAACAGATTTGGATCAAATATCTCCCGTAAAAAAAGGGAGAGAAGAAATTTGAATCCAGATCTACTCCATCCTATTTATTTTTCCCAGTGTGGCACTTTGAATACAGCCTGTCACCCCTAAACACCAGCTATATTCTTTACCAACATAGTGGGTTTCTTAAAGAAACAGAAAAAAGTACACACTTCTGGATCTAGGAGACACTGCTGAGGGAAAGGATGACTTTAAGAGTTTCTCTGGGTTTTTAGGGGCATACTACCATGGTAGGGTCAGGAGCGGGCTGCTCACTCTGGGCAGAAAATCCTATCACCTTAATGCAGTACAGCCTTCTGCCCATGTTCTTCAGTTGCAAACTAGCCTCTAAATACCACCATTCCTGAAAGCAGCTACTTTTGACTGCTTAATCCCCACACCTCTATGATACTACCTAAAAGCATACCAAATGGGCTATAAGCCTTTCTTAAGCATTATCTGGGTAAATAAATTCATTAAATGGAAATTTTCAAAATCAGATGTAACAGAAAAATACATACCCTTGTTCTTGTTTCAGTATTTGAGGAAATTACTTCTGCTTTAATAGAGTATTGAATGGTACTTGCCAGTCAAATATGACAAGTTCTAAATAACCTATTTCATAAGTAACAGCTATGCAACATCCCCAACACACATGGCATTAAAGGAGAATATCTTTCAGAAGCTTGATGGCATTACTGCTGTTTTGGTTAGTTTAAATACAACCATAACCACTTGCTATTATTTTCTGGTAAGACTGCTCATGTGTTGACTTTCTCCTGAAATATGGAACAGGAATCTTTCACACCTTCTCAGCTAATATAAAAAGGTGGTTATTTCAAGGAGCTGCCTGATGCATGTGCTTCACACAGTTCTATATTATTTAGTAGAATTTGATATTTGTGTTTGTCAATTCTCACATTTTCCTATAAAAGAAATTCTTTGTTTTGGTGATTATAGCATTAAAAATGTCTATACACCTGGGTAATGTCTCCACTTACTAAAAACACATTTATTAGTCTCCTGTTAAAAGTATTATAGTTAGGGAAAAGCTAGTAATTCAGTGTTAAATTCTGTATTACAACACTCATGACTTTCTAAACAACAACAAAGACTTAATTTGAAATGAAATCTATCTTTGACAGTTTTAGTTCACCTCTTAAAATTCAATCTAAAATATATATCCAGTTGTATTTGAGATTAAAGGGAAATTTTTTTTAATCTTCTTTCATCAGAAAGTGTTTTTCCATGGTTGTGTTTTCTCTGGATACCTCAGAAAACAATGCTGCTCTGAAACTTCCAGTTTTGCCACATACATACAGGAAATATTTACAAGGAAATGTTTAAGTTTTATGACATTTGTTTTGAAGGAAGAAAATCAGCTAGGGTCTTATTCCCAGTTTCTCTGCTCTCAAAGTGTGAGACAGTCCTCCAGCTGGTGCTACCTGCACGTGGCTTGAAGTTCTGTGCTCTCCCAGCTCTCGAGCAACTTCAACTCCTTCAAAACCAGCAAAAATGATGGAAGTCTGCTCCTCCACATGGTAACCCGAGCACCATGTGAGGCAGGTCTGGGAGAAGGGCACTCCTCTGGAACTATGTCAGTGCTGCAAAGAGCATAGCTAAACACAGTTCCACTACCATTTCAAATGTTCAGACTCACAGTTGTTATTTTAACTCTTCATTTTATACAACCCCTAGCATACTAAGAAATTGGCTTATGCTGGGAGAACTCACTCCATTTTGTTGCAAAAATAACTGCACAAGTGTAGCAAAATTCTATGTCAAGAACAGAAAGTGAAATTTTTCTGGCAAATAAAAACGTTCCATGAGGAAATTCATCATAATCCCAATATTTTGTGAAAAGATACTGACTAACTAAATTCTACAAATCTTCTTGCTTGAACTTTTCATATGGGGAGAAGGAAACCAGAAAAAAAAATTCTATCTCACTTGCCATGTAGCCATAGCTCCATGATGAAAGAAAATGTTTTGGTATAGGGAATAACACAATAAATGAAGGTCATCAGGAAATATGATCAAAATGATCAAGTTCTATCTCACATAATCTTTCCTCAGACTACCCTTCCATCCATTAACATTCCTATATGATGGAACTGCTAAAGTCTAAGGTGATACACAGTGTAAGCAGCAGTCTTCTGTCTCTTCCTCCTGCTTTTGAAAGATACAAGAGTGGAGTCTGGAAGCAACATAGGTAAAGCTCAGCAGCTGAGTCTCCGAAAGGAAAAAAAAAGGTATTTTTCTAAAGCTACAACTAATGCTCTCTTTCCCAGTGGGCAGCTAGCAAACCCCAGCTCAGAAGCATCTGTCTCCTACAAAACACTTCATGGAGGAGAATCTGACAGTCAAGTGGCTTACAGCTAAAGTAGAGATTTAGCTAATAGGAGGTGGCATAGTAAATTGGGACTTGTTGTTGGAAGTCAATTTCCATGGTGAACTTCCTTTCCCCCATCTTATGGCAATCCTGAGGAGATACAGCAGTCTGAATAGCAGTCATTTTATCAGAGGCAGAGAAGTTCATCAGAGGAATATTTCCCCAGAACATAAGAAACCAGTCAACAAACAGGAGGTGGGGATGGAAAGGACAGACTGTAAAGCTGTGTCAGTCAGTTCAGCAACACTTACTGAGTTGCATGGAGATGTTTCCTACTTGGAGACTGAGCACCAGAACAATGATGCCCAGGGAACAGCAAGTCTGCCTTTATCAAAAGCCCTGCTCGCCTGTTGAAAATGGATGCTACCTAAACCTCCTCACTTCAGGTCATGGTCAGTTCTTCTGCATTTGCCGAAACATGACAGGTGAGCCTGTGCTTCCACACTTAGTATGCCTTCAGCAGCAATTGCCAACACCTCCCCACAAGCCCAGCTAAGCAGTCATCTTGTGAGGCTGTAATGGGTTCAAAGCCAGTCCTTGACTTTTTATCCACTACTTTTGGGGGGATCCCAAAACACTGTGGATACATGGTTATAGATTATTACAGCAACCACAAAAGAGGCAACTTATCTAGGCGAAACAGAAACAAGCCCTAGATTTATGACAAAGCAGAAGTTTGTAACACCAATGATTTCCCCAGTGGTAGTGAAATTTATCATTCAGCAGATCTGCAAGACTAAGGCACAAAGAGCATTGCAGCCACCTTAGTGTGATATCTCTGACCTCAGCATGGATAGGAAGGTTAATCATAAGATATCTCCTTTGTGACTGGTTTACACTCACTTGAAGCAGAACACCCTCATCCATGGCTATAGGGAGTGAACAGGGAAAAAGTGGTGGTGACCTATCTGTGCAGAACTCTGAGAGCAAACAAGACAGATCCATTTCACACACCAGACAAACTAAGCGAGTAAAATGATCATCATCTGGTGGCAGGTATATGAACTGATGAGTACAAACATGGTTACAAAAATGCCACGGCTCACTGGGTAAGGAGAAGAAAGACTGGCAGAAGCATTTGGAAAATGAAAAGCTTCCAAAACTATAACTACGTACCTTCCACAAACAGGTGGGAAGAGATATATTGAAAATGAAACATCTTGGAGACAATAAACTTCATCAGACAGTTGCCAACGTCTGGCATTGTCTTCCCTACAGGATTTGCTGCAAAGGATAATGAATTACATCTCAAAAGAGACACTGCATAGCTGTAATTTCCAGAGCGGGCCTTTACTGAAGAGTGGACAGAATTAGCACTGTTGCCAGCAGCTGGGATGATCTACAGTTATCTGAACTAATCCTGCTCAGCATATTGAACAATCACTTATCTGCATGCTCACTATCTCTGGTATAGAGCCAGACACTGACAGGATGAGTAGAGAGCAGCAACTCAATCACCCTACATTCATGTGGCTCTCACAAAACTGGATAGCGACCTCTTATCCCTTGTTCATGAAAATGCCAATTGGCATCCTACAATACCTTGATGAGGTCACAGACTCAAAAAGGATGCAAAAATCAGCAGTTCTCTCTCTTGCCTCTCTGGATGTACATGAAGGAAAAGACTCTTCCATCAGCAAATAACCATCCTAGGTGAACTCTAGTGCAAGGCAGGGGATTTACTCCCCTGAGATATTATTTGAAATACCAGAAAAAAGGAATATTTCTTGATGGTAATATATGTAGCTATTTCAAAATTGCTATGGTTTTGTTTCTCTCAGATAACCCACGGACAAGGTTCATTTTATTGAAAAATTTAAGTGATATGCCAAGATATCATAATGGTAGTCATTAATTTGAACCCTCTTCACTATTGGCAGCAGAAATGAGGTCTGTGATCACTAATACATGGCAAACAAAAGAGAGCTGTTCATTACCTCCTATCCACTGGAAGCTCTTCCAGCATGACAGTTTGGTTAAAAAGAAGGAATTGCCTACTCTTTCCTCAAAGGGCACAGAAACCATCCTCGTGAACAGCATTTATTCCAAACTTGATTTGAGTATCTCATTCAATTATACTCAAATGAAGAACAATGTGACCACTCCCAATCTTCCAAATATCCTTTGGAGTAGTTTGTTTCACCTCCAACTTGCAGAGTTGTTCCCAGACTACTCATTGGGACAACACTGAAGTTGTGTCCTCTGTACAACAGAATGTCTTCATGATTCTTCCGGTCCACAAAAATCAATCCTGGGAACTGTCCTTTGGAGTCTCAGAATCCCTCCCACATCCCCACAAAACAAACATACCAGCTGCAGAAAAACTCCAGGAGTAACACAAAATCCTCTATACCAGCCTCAATACATAACAGCATGTACAATGTACACATTGAGTACATTCAGGGATGTTCTTACTGACTTTTTATGTTGAGGAATTCTCCAGCTGAGCTAGATAACGATAAGTAGAAGCAAGAGGACATGCTTGATGTAGTCATAAGTTTACAGCCTCATTTTCAATGAGGCACAGTAAGTGAATGAGTGAGTGAAAGTAATGAGGACGAACAAGGATAATGGCAATAGATCACAGTGCCATTGATTTGCTATACAGGAGACAGATGACTCGGAAAGGTTCCTCTTTAATTTCTATATAGTAGCCACCCCAAAATAATTGCTTACACTGGCCATCATTAATTTGTTGATTTCTTGAAGGCATTCCAATAGGAACAGTAGATCTTAAAAGAGTGGGTAGCAGTTTTATGGACTTGTTCCTCCGCAGCACTCTGCATGCAAAAAGCAATGAGGAACCATCTGTGTAGATAACAGTGATATAATGAACTTTGAAGGTAAGAGCGAAGGGAAGGAGGCATGCATGTGCAACCTAATGAGATGAGATGAGGTGATCAACTCCCTCTGAAGTCAGTGGGAATCTTTCTGATAACTTCAATGAGAGTTCAGTCAAGCCCTAAAGGACAAAAGTAGAGCAGGTCATTAACGCAGGCTGTGAAAGTGCAAACAGGTTTGAAGTATTTCAGAGATGTTCATATTAAAAAGTATGGCCAATGTAGTAAGTTTCTGAGAAGTGAAGCAGCATCTGTATGCTCTTACTAGAGTATACAGGTACAAAAAGTGCCCTGATCACAGGCACATTTCTAGATCATTATATCATGGGAGCGGTATAAAACATGTTGCTTTCTCATAGGCTGTAAATGATCAGGGTAAAGAAACACACCCTATACCACTAGAAATTTGGAGTACTCAGATTTCTACTGATCACGCACCATACATCTCCATTCCTACTGGCTATTGAGCTCTATGTGACTAATATATTATAGTAACTTATAAAAGAGGAAAAGAAGTCTCACACAGGTTTGACACCCTCATCTCTCCCAATATATTTCTATCAGAGGGAAATCTCTATACCCTTCTAATTTTACAGGAAGGGATCGTTTCTCCCTGTACAGCCCATGTGTCAAGGGGATGCGTGGATCCTTCTTTTCCCTTCCATATAATCCTTCTATTCAAGTGTCCATATGTCTTCCCTCACTCTCTTCAATTCCAGTCCAAAATTGTCAGACAATGTAGCATGAAGTGCTAAGGAAATAAATATTTCAGGACATTGCTATGGTGGGATTTTTTTTTTTTTTTAGGTGATAAAAAAACACTGGTAACTAGCACTCACTGTCCTCAGGACAATAACTATTACTGTTATGATCATGTAGGAACTGAGGAGGAAGAAAAAAAGTAATAAGCAGAATAATGTACTTTTGAGGTCCAGCATATGGTTATCTAATAGAGAGAACAAATACTTTTGATAGATCAATAAGGAAAATTTTAGTTACAGCAAACATTTCTTAGCCCTGGTTCAGACCACGGATCAGAGTCAAAAATTATAGAATTCTAAATTTACTAAATCATACTCATCAGATGCTTTGCTATAAAATAATACATTTCACTTTCACCAATCAATAAATGAATTGCATTCATCAATGATTTGATATGTGTTGCCAAATATAAAATACTTAGCATTTAGTTACATATTTCTATGTAAAAGCTTTACATCATACTGTCTAAATTCTGCAATAATTATAAATCTAGCTTGTTGCTCATCTTTCATTCCTCCTCCCTCCCTTCCCAGCTCTCCTTTTTTTTTGTAATTCATTTTAAGTAGTTAAACCTGGGTGCAGAGCAACTAAACAATTATCTAGGATCAATTCCAAAGAAACAGTTGAGGAAAACACAAGTATGCTTTATGAGATTCCACTGGGAGGAAAGTTTATTTTTACCTGATTTGTTAGACACCCATATAATTGCCTCTGATGAGATGTGGCTCGTATTTCCTACTGCAATTGTTAATGGAATCTGCCACAAGTAGCTGCAAGACAAAGGAGGGGGAATCTAAGAACAAAAATACTGAACTGATTCTTCTCACAGCAATCAGGGATCATGTCAAAGAAATCAAAACACAATTTTAGTAGCACTGTAAAGATCTGTGGATTCTAAGAAGTTACTCTGATTTTGAAATGCATTTGCTATTAGCAATAAAACAATGAAAAAGTCATTCATTTAAAAAAACCTCCTAAATTATATTTTACATTTTTCACACACTATCATTATATGAGAACTTTTTTGCAAGGCTTTTCCTAATTTTACAAAATGATTCGCAAAAGAGGAAATAATGATTTCTCATATAAAGAAGAACACTTTTTTATATTTTCGTAGAAAAAGACTACCAGTTTAAAAATAACATACTCTTCTAGTAACTTCTGAAAAAGCTACAATTAGCTTTCCTTGCTGCTGGTTTATAAAAACAAAATGAATGGGATGGATCTCCACTTCTTTGCACCATTTATTATCACCTGTGCATATGCAAACTTGACAAAACTTGCTGCATGTGGTTTGGTGATAAACTGGTGTAATCAGACCCCAAATTCCTTATAGGGTATTAAAAATTGTTTCTCATTTGGATTAAATGTTATAATTTACCTAAAATTTTTATATAACATCTTTTTCTTAATAAGTAGAAATTGACTGCATGAAATCAATTTTTGGGGCGAGGACAGAAAGGATGAATTCCTGCATGTCTTCATGACCTCTATTCCTGAACTCTCAAAAGTACCATTTCACCAGTCAGTGAAAGAGTGGACATTTCCCTGACAGGCCTGCCACATCATTTTGTAAACCAGTCAAGAGGAAGCACTCAGTAATGACACCACCTTTGCTGGTCTTTGAGTAGGTGGTCTAGGGGGAGTATTTATGCAGTTAAGCAAGGCAGCATGGCAAGAGAATGGCCTCAACTCAGATATCACTGTATACTACCACTTTGATACCAGGTACATATTTTTTGACTGATTGCATTAAAATAGTGCGAGTGTGGGCCAGTTCTTGATGTCAGCATCAGCTTCTCTCCTGCTAGTACGCAGCATTGCAAAACTAGCCTATGGTGCTAAAAAACCAATTGGTTTTGCTCCTTTCCACTTATCCAGAAGCCTAATGCACTGAATTACAAAAATTACAAACACCACCCAGATGTTCCACAACTGCAGTCAACATGGGCTGGCTTGCCAGGGTGGCATTTGCTGGCCTGACTTGGAGTCTGGGGAAGAGAGAGAGACCCCTACTCTGCCTCCACACTTTGCTCCCGGCTCCCCACACGTTTGCAAAGAGCCCTCAGCACGCACAGGGATTTGTATTACTTAGAACAGAATCATGTGTGCTGGGAAACACTTGATCATTCAGCAGCGATTCAGCAGAGGGGGAGATATTTGGGTAGCCATACAGCTGAAAGAGCTATGAATGATAGTAGAAAGGAAACATGGCATTTATTACCAAGTGGGAGAAGAAAAAGGTTCCATGTGATTTTAGGTTCTCTGAGTGTTGGTATCATGACTGGGAAAACTCAGATCTACTCCTGCACTGAAGATAAGCTCCACATGAGTACATGCCCTGGCAGACATTTTTTGGATAATTGAGCTGTGGCATTTGAAGGTGCTTATGGCTTTATCAGTCTGCCCATTCCTTGTGCTGAACATTGACACACTCCATAGCATGGCCAGCAGAAAAGAATGTCCACTAGGTGCACAAGCTTCTGCAGTTCTCTATCTGGGGTCCTCACACAAAGTTACCCTCCTTGTAGGCTTAACCAATATTCTGGACTGTGAACTGGAGCAATGAGATGAAAGTGTGTTTTGTATCCTGCTGCTTCTGCTACAGTGTCAGTAATTTCTGGGTTCAACAGGTGAGGGCACTCAGGGAATGCTGCAAAGTGATGCACCAGATTATATTCACTACTCTCTTAACTACCTTATACCTTACTAGACATTCACTAGTGTCTGTCCAAAAAAACTCCTTGGAAATATATCACCTTTAAAACCATATCCAGTTCTAAATACTTGGTTCTCCAGAATGAAAAAGATGCTGGAAAACTGTGATTGAGAAAAACGAGGCAAAATTTGCATAAAGCTTTTACATTATTTGAAAGAACAGGAACACTGGTATATGAAAAAAAATAAAAACTGTATTTGCATGGAATTTTTATGACCTTTCAGCTCCTACTGAAAAAGCTAAACTGCAAAATAAAAGATACTGAGAGCTGTCTATGTAGATGATTTAAGCACATATATACACATTCACAAATATTCATGTATGAACATACACATGGACACCTGTTATTTTCAGAAGGAATTTCATAGAAATGTATTTTGCACATTGAAGTATCTATACAGAGAAGAATTTTATATTACTTGACATTATTTTGCCTCCAATTAAGATAAATCCCACTGAAATAAGGGCAGATCCTTCTCTGAAAGGTGATCCAGCTGTCACAAAAGCTACTCCTCAGAAAATATGTGTGGATTTAGTTAGGGAGACTAGTACTGGCAAATTTAACTTTTATCTCCCCAATATGAGAGACCTCATGATGTTCTTGGTGCTCTCCAGAACCTCCAAATCTCACTCTCTTGACTATTAGTTTCCCAGGTGAACCACGGGTTTCCTTTTAATAGGCATCTCCAGAAACATATTTTTCCTACTTTATTGCTGCTGTTCTCTCTGTTTATCTGTTTTCTCATTCCATTTCTCTTCATTCTCAGAGAAACTTCTGCTGCTGTTGCAGAAGCAGCTGTGGCCAACTTTTTCTATCTATGTGAGAGAGACGTATCTGGCTCACTTTTCAAGACGACAGCTTCCACTCACTGAGTGATCTGTACAGACTTTGTTCTCCAGGTGTGACTGGGAAGAGGCAAACTTTGTTTGCACTTTTCTATCACAGTATTCTGCTTTGTCTGTGAGTAGTGTAGACCTATTATTAATATTTTGGGAGCACCACCAGTGTGCTCTCAGTATGTATTTGTCATTAAAAAAGAAAAGGAAAGGTTCCCGGTATTTCAGATTTTGCACACCTCTTCAACTACTTTTTCACGTTAATGAATGTTTTTGCTAAGATGTAAACCCATACATTTTCAAGATTCATTACGGTTACCCCCAGTAACCATAATGTGCCAAGCTTCATGTAGGCATTAGCTGGCACTGGTGAAACCCCAACCATCATCTTCTGTGACTCAGTTTCTCTGGCATTAATTCAATTGTGCAAGGTGATGTCAACTGAGCTGTCACAGGGTACTTGAGATATCTGCCATGGGTTGTTAGATATGACAGAGCACCTAAGGATGCTCCCACCCTTGTAATGGCAGCACAAGGCAAAGTAAGACACCTTAGAACACCTTGAATGGCACCAGTCATCTGTGCAAGCAACTAAATGGGTCTCTCCCTCCACTTGATGTTGACCTCTCATAATTAAACCTGAGTTTCCCAAGGAAACTGTTCAAAACCAAGCTGCTTGTAAGAAAAAGAAGGCTTCAGCACAGATTTTCAAATACAGTATTTAAAACAGGCACTGCTGCAACATTTTATAAGTACTGTTTTAAATAAGAACTTTCAGTTTACTGATTCAAAAAAATGCAGGGAGAAGTTAAAATGACTGAAACTGAAATGTAAGGTAGTGAAATTACAGAACTGAAATGAATGTTCTAAACTAATTATTCCCCTATTTTTGCTTTGATTTTTGTCCTGATTCAATAGAGGGAAATGTTTTGATATGTTGAAAATTTCTGTGGGATGGGAATCCATTACTTGTTCATCAGTAACACTTACTAATCTTTGTAAAGTATTTTGAGAACATAACAATCTAAGACCTTATATCACTGAGAGATATGATTAAAGCTATTTAACTCAAAGTGAGGCATAAAAATAGTTCAAGAGTAAAAGGCATAAAACAAGAATCCAAGAGTAAAACTGACTGGTTAAAACACCTACCCCCTTTTTTTGCCACTAGAACTTAATAACCAAAATACTAACTCAGTCTCTTCAGTTAAAGATAACAGTCTGGTACGTCCAGAGTGGGTGAAGATGAGAAACAGAGAGCAAGAACTCCTTGGCGTTAGTTTCCTGTTCTCAGCTCTCTCCAGATGGAAATGCTGGAATCTCATGTACACACACATATCTTAGGTGAGCAGCACTGAGTCTGAGGAGGGGACGCTTTCCCAGTGTGGCCCTTGCAAACATTGGTGATTCCCTGAATAAGTTAGGATGCTGATAAGCATTTCTTATTAAGGGAATATTTTGCTATGAGCCATCTGCATGAACGTATGTTGTTCGGATTTCAGGGACAAAAGAACACAAAAGCAAAGTAACAAGAAAATCTGACCTTTCAGAAAGCAAGTAAATATTATAGAACAAAAATTAAAATTTGAAGATTTGTACTTTTCCTTTGGTTGAATACTTGGCTGATCTCCAGAGACATATACAAATAGTGGCTAGTAAAAGATGCATTTAGCTGCATGACTGCAAAAGTTTCTGGCTAATAACCTTAATGCTTATTATAAATTAGAAGGCACACAAATTTGATAATATGAACTAAGTAAAGGATTGTGTGACATTAGGACATTAAATAAATATAGAAGGAAGAGAGTAGAGATCTCTCATTACTTCTGATGCCTTAAGCCCCTAATTTTTTTTTTATTTTTCTAATATTGGTAAGTCTTATAAAGTTTTATAAGTAGATTTTAAAAGCAGCAACCCTCCCTCCTTTGTCCCTTGTCCCTTTCCCTTTCTCTCTAGCACCCTTGTTTACACATTCCTTAACCCTCTTACCCCATTCTATGCTCCCTATATCAATCCTACTCTCGAACACAGCAGAAATGTTTAGTCTTTTGTCAAGGCAAGGCCTAGATTGTTGGCAGAACAGCATATCAGGGCCTAAACCACAGAACACAGTAAAAAATTGGGTAACTATGTACCCTTTGTGCTCTGAGGGAGAGGAAGATGGGATGAACAGGGGGTCCCGAAAGCCCTCCGACTCAATTCTCAGGGGGTGGA